TGAGGCTCTGCACAGGTGGTGTACTTTACCTGCTCGAGAGTCCTCCTGGGCACAGTGGTTGATCCAAGATTCTCTGTCTTTTCCTGAGCTGATGCAACCGGCTGATTTGGTTCCAGCATGGTCTGTGAGACACGTAACAGCTGCTCTTCTTGTGCTCCAACAGCCTGCTGGGGATTCAGAGGGGAGATGATTGCCTTATTTCAAACACCACAAGAGCTGTCCCTCAGAAATCTCCATCTTGGCAAGCATCCTCGAGGCACCAGCAGTGCAGCTGCTGCTGCTCACATCTCTTGGTACAAAACTCTGCTGGGTTTAGTCCATCGCCCTGCTCACCTGCTCCATTCCCTCCCACACCAAATCCAAATCCCCACGTGTTGCCATGATCTTGTGTGGGCACAGGAGAAGCAGCTCCCCATGCCCAGCATTTGGCCTGCAGCTGATCTGAGCAGCAAACTCCAGAGCTGTAGCAGTCATTCTGGGCATGCCAGGAAACAATCTGCCAGTCAATGGTCTCTGGCTGGGGCCAGGCAGACAGACAAGGCTGCCTGCCGCAGCCTGGGCTGCTTTGGCCAAGCAGGCCTGGACTCACAGGGATATAGAGTCCCACTTCTTTATGGGAAATATCACTGGAATCCTTCAGGGACATTGGAGTGGAGGTCAGTGCCTCTGCCTACCTGGAGATATGTCTTTCCCTCCAGGACAGGAAAGTATTTCTTCAGAGCCCCTTTGGCAATTTGACAGTTGGTCAGTGCAGAACTAAGAGCATTTCCTCTCCCTTCTTTCAAAATAGCAGTGCCATGCTTCAACTCTTCCTGCTTGGTTTCCTTTCCGGTGTCCAATTGTTGTATTCTTTCCTGCTGACTTCGGATGTCAGGTGCACCCATGAGCTTTTGCAGGTCTCTCAGCTGCTGGTGGTACAATTCCTGTTCATGCTGCCAAAACAGGGAGAAGACTCACTCATTGCCTCTCTTGGTTTGCTTCTCATACCAGATCTGGACTCCTGCTGCAGGGGCAGGCACGTGCTGCCCCCCTCTCTCTCTGCCTCTCGGGCTGCTGCAGACCTTGGCTGGGCCCCCCTTGACGCTGCCTCTTTCCCAGCTCGCTCAGCCCATCCCAGCTTCCTTTCTGCCCGTCCCCGACCTCTGGCAGCTCCACTCCCGTGTTCCTTTGGGCACGAGCTGCCAGAACTGCAGCCAGGATTTCAAGTCAATGCTAAGCAGGATTTAGGCAGTGCCATGAGGATGTGCTCTGCATCAGGAAGGAGGAGCAAACACCTTCAGCATTTCATTCCAAGGCCTTGGGGCAACAGGAGTGGTTTTCCAACACTCCTGTGTAGACTTTCCATGGCAGTATCCCCGAGAGCCCCACCGCCCTCTCTTGCAGCACCAATGGCCAGATCAGTCTGTCATTCCCTGCTGCCACTCAGGACGAGTTCTCCCCTTGCAGGCACACGTCCTGATCTGCATCAGCACTTGGCTTTCCTCTCTTCTCTCCCCACTGCCTGCTCTCACACAGCCAAGGCCAAACACCTTTCAATTAACAGCAACCTAGGTCTTCTCATCCCTCCTGCCAGCTCCAGATATTTAGAAATCTGAACATGGATTTGGACACCAGAAATTGCCCAAACCATGCAATGTCAATGGAGACAGTGTGGACATGGAGAACTAAAGCTTCCAGGGCACAGAACTCCAGCATGGAGGAAAATCAGCAGCCTCAGTGCTAACTGGCTTTGACATGGCTACAACATCATTTCCTCCTTGTTCAGAGGAATGCAATTAGGAAAGTTAAACTGGAAAAAGGTGCTCCTTTGAACTGGTAACACAAAATGCAAACATAGCTAGGAAATGGCCCTTTGTGGCATCTGCCATTCTCACCAGCACATCCTTCCTTTCCTTCTCCTGGCTCTCCAATTTCCTCTGCAGTGATGCCACCTCCTGACGAACAGTCACAGCCTCTTCCTTCAAGGCAGTTTCTCGAGAAATGTGCTTGTTTTCAGCCCTACACAAATCTGTAGCAGGAAAGGGGAAGGAGAAGGAGGAAAGCAAAGTAAAGTAAACTGATGTTCATCCTGCAGAGACAACAGCACTGTCTTCTCTGCCTGACTGGGTTTACCAAATCTTAAGCCCACTAGAGCTTCCAAAACTGAGAGAAATGAAGGAAACTTCCAGGCAGAGAAAAAAGCAGGAATGGCAGGGGCAAGGTTCAGAGGAATAGCAAAGTGTGTTTGCTCTTGGCCTTGTGCAGAGTGAACAATCCAAGAGAGGCAAAGCAGCTGGGATGTCTGTGCAGCCCTGCTCCAGAGAGGCCAATAGCCTGGAGGCTCTGGCAGGGCCTGGAGCTTGAGAGAATTTGCCTCAGGCATCCAGCTCCAGCTGCTTAGCACAGACACAGCACCTGAAATGCACCAGCTGTGTATGGGATCAGCCACAGCATTTTTATTGAGAAAAAGATTTCACAGTCACTTGGATGTATAAATCTCGTGCCGGTTGTTTTTCCTGTCTGCCATCTCTGGGCACAGGCCTTTAGCTCTGTGTGGGATCAGAGATCCCCGCTGGTGGAACAGAATGGGGCAGAGAGCGGGAGGGGACAAGTTGTACCTCTCTCAATTTCCTCCAAGTCCTTCGGCAGCTCCAGGTTGCGGGTTCTGAGGTTGTTCCTCTGAGTCTGTATCTTCTTCAGCTCCAGCTTCACAGTCTCACACTGTATGGCTGACGTAAGAGCTTTGTCATCAGAGCTCTGGAGCCTCAGACGCAGCCCAGACACCTCAGCCTGCAGCAAATGCACAGAGATCCTCAAGCTCTGTTCTCCTGCTCGGGACTTTTCCAGCTCCTGCAGCAGCTCCTTCTCTCGAGTGTCCTGCTGAGCTGCCTTCTCTGTCACTGCATCCTGCAGGGCCTGGATCTGGAAGATGGATGCAGAGAGCCTCAGGGACTGGGCTGCTCCTGAGGCAGCAGAGCGGGCAGTAGGGAGAGCATTGATGGAGAAATGACTTCAGGCAGAAATACACCAGAAACAGAAGGTGCAGAACCAAGGATTCCAATGGAGACAAAGGTAGAGAAAGCAGGGAAAGGGAGGCAAGGGGCATCCTTGAGGCTGCAGCTCTGAACACGGGCTGAACTGGCTGTGGTGGAAGTGCCCTGCCCAGCCTGCCATAGCCACGTCTGTGTCCCCACATTGCTCAGTGCCTGGCACAGGCACCAATCCTGTCAGGGACAGCACTGCTAACAGAGGGACAGAGAAGATCCAGAGGAGTGTGCTGCTGCTTCTGCTCCCAGATTTCCTGCTGGGCCCCAGGAAAGAATGGGAGAAAACATCGGCAGCAGACACCAGATCCAGCCTTGGCCTGAGGGTGCAGCAGCAGCAGCCCTGGGCAGAACACAGTGGCAGTGGATGCTGCAGGGAGGGGAAAGAGGTTGGGACTAGCATGCCAAAGGTGGTGTTGTGTGTCCCTGGAGAAGAGGATGGAGTGCACAGCTTACCTGGGTGTTGAGCTGCTTCAGTTGTCCTGCACGGCTTGAAGAGAGTTGTTCGGCCTGCTGAAGAGCAGAATGAAACTGAGACAGCTGATTGTTCAGCGCCAGGTTCCTTTGTTCCAGCATTCTGAGATCCATGCTCTTTTCCTCCAGAGACAGAATCAGCCTAGAAGGGAAGCATGCAACTCATTACTAATGGTATCACATTTTATAAACTCCTAGGACTTGCACCACCTCAGAGAAAACTGCTCTGTCCGATGAGGTTTGTCTAAACAACTTGGCTGTTTGTTCCCCCTGCAGTCACAGCCCAGCATGTGCCCACTCTGCTTTTGTTCCTGAAAGAACAGGGAGTTCCTGCCTTCATGGCCTACCTTCTATTTGAGATGGGAATGTGCATACAAACCTAACAAAGTCCTGCAATGAAGACATTAGGGGAGAGGAAGAATTTTCTTCTGACTAACCAGGCTCCAAGGGGAAGAGGTTTGGTCAACATGGAAGAGACATTTCCTTCCCCCATCTTGTATGTCCAGGTAGGAGGAGCAGGACCCTACAGCCAGGGGTCGTCTGGCAAGTTCCCTGAGATTTACCAGCACCCATCCTACTTTCAGCTGGAGGAACAAAGGCCCAAGGCAGAAGTGGCAACAGAGGCTTGGAGCTCAAGCTGATGGAAGATGCAGAAACCTCCAGGCAAGCAAGAGTGCTCTGCCTTTCCTTTGTCTTCTTCTTGGAAGAAGAATCCTGTGGCACTGAAGACTGGCTTGACTTGATCAGCTGGAGGAGCCCCCCTAACCTTGCTCTGGTTTCTTGCATTCTTTGCACAGTCAGTAACACCTGTGAGTGTGGAGGGTGGCAGGGACCCTGCTTGAGCCCCTCCAGGCACCGGGGGGGCATTTTATCAGGAACAATGCACCAGAGACATTCTTGTTTCTCGGGTGCCTCCCAGGGCAATCTGGGCTTGATCAGCACTCAGGGCCTTAAGAAGGTTCTGCCCAGTAAAGGCATCAGATGCCAGGCTGATCAGATCCCAAAGGCCTCAAGTTACAGCAGCCAAGGTGGAGCTGATGGATGTATCCAGCTCCTTACACTGCAGCTCCAGCACTGTTAACACACCCACCTAACCTAACAGCACAACACTCCCTAGAGGGAAAGAGCTACCCCAAAAGCCTTTGTCTTCAGAAAAACTCCAACTGAAGGCTTAAAATATTAGAGAATGAACACAACATAATGATAAGATAAGATAATGAGATGTGTCTTCATGGAGAGTTCAGAATCTGATACTTAGGAAATGCTGCCAGAGCCCCAGGTAGGTGCAAAGATGGCAAGGAGGGAATGCATTCACCACATTGCAGAGTCCCACAGGCTTTCATTTACCTGGCTTTTTCCCTCCCTAGGACATTCATGGAATCCTGCAATTCTGAATTTTGCTGTGCCACTTCTACCAATTGATTCCTTTCCCTCTCCAAGTTCTGCAGCTGCACTTGGAGCTCCTTCTTCTGATCTTCTGCCTCCTCCAGCCTCTTCTGGATGTGCTCAGTCTCCAACATCTTCTGCTGCAACTGTGCCTGGGCCTCGCTCACATCTTGCTGGGCTCTCTGGACTGTGCTTTCCTGGAACTCTCGGGAGGCTGCCAGCTGAGATGTCAACTCTTCCACCTCCAGTCAAACAGAACAAAGCAGTCAGAGGCGACAGCCACAGCCTGCCACTGTCAGCCACAGCAGAGGCCGTGAGGAAAGGGAAAGGACAACTTCCCATTTCTCCCTGTCCTGAAAGCACCAGATTCACAATGGATATGGACAACAAGTCTCTGAGTGGCCCACTATGGGCACCTAAAACAGCACCTCCCAAACCAAGAAGAGGCCAGCAGGAGTCCATGCTGATGGATGCTGGCCAATAGCCCAGAGGAC